ATAAATGATTTTTAACTTCCCAAATTCATGAGAAATTCATGTTTTTGACCAAAAATCCGATTGGCTAATTTTAGTAGTAATTAAATGTTGAGAAAAAATTTTGACATGGTTTTATAAATGGTTACATACCTACTATATAATGAATTGTATAAGTAATACCTAATAGACACAACAAATATTTTTTTTAAATTTTTTGTACCAATGTCTTTTATTTTATTTTTTTTATAATTTGTAATTAAAAAGATCCTCATTACATCATTTTAGTAATATAATAATTTTTATCCTGCTTTCATATTTAATTCCAAGTGAAAATCAATGTCCCTGCTGCTTGACATCAGATTGTCCGAGACGATATAATAAACAAACGTAAATCTGTAAACTATATTCATCTTCTATTTTAAATGTTAAATGAACATAAATATTTATAATCTATATTACAAATTAGTGTCTACGTGCTATTTAATACGGAAGTTACGCCTACGAGTCGTTCGTTTTTACTTTCATTTTACAGGGGCATCGCGTCAGAAAAAAAATTAAGAATACCGGAACCATCAACAATTAGCATCTGATTCGATCATTTGCTATTAAAAAAATGAACATAAAAAAATTTAGTACTGATATAAATGATTTCTTGGCGTTTCAATTGAAGTTCATTACCGGTCATCGCGAAAAAACATCTATAAATAAGATATAAATAAACCGTGTTGATTAATGAGAAGTGAAATTATAAAATTAAATTTTAAATTGTTCATGAAAAATATTTTATGTGTAAATTTACCAAAAAATTATCAACAGAATTTTAAAATGTAAATGTAACAAGAAATACTACTGAACCGTTTTTATACATGCACTTTTTTCGGGGAAGTTAATGATAATATATATGTATATATGTATATATGTATATAAATATGTGTGTATGTATTTATTTATGTATGGATTAATAAAATCAACAAATGAAGCAATTAAAGTATCAATATAGACTTCACAATCAACATCTAAATAATTAACAATTTATATATATATATATATAAATACATATATAACTCTCGTGTTATAATATCTGCAAAACGGCTTAACCAACTTTATGAAATTTTATATTCACGTTTAGTATGAGAAATCTGATATTTATATTCCTATTAAGGTTGGTCACACCTAAGATTTTATAAAAATTTTTGAACCAATATCTTTTATTTTCTTTTTTTATAATTTGTAATTAAAAAGCGTATGCAGATCTAAATTTTCACCCTTCTACCACAAATCCTTATTACATAATCATCATTTTAGTATTGGAATGATTTCTAAAACGCTTTCAGCCATGAATGTTTAATTTTGATTCGGATTTTCTTCAGCTTATGAAAAAGCTTAAATATTACTCTTTTTTAAAAAATATTAAGAATAGTCTACCCTCAACATTTCTTCTGATTTTTTCTTGAATTATTTTCTTTTATACTGAGTAATTGACTAATATAAATAACACAAAATATTAACTCTCCTTCTAATAATACCTATATTGTAATAAGCATTTCCGTAATTCATTAATTTTTCATTGCGCTTTCAGTCAGTGAAAGTTTTTTTTACTGAAAATGCATTCAGAATTTCTTGAGTTTATTGAATTTTTTTTATTTTAACTTTATTGATTATTTTTTAATTGCCCGTAGGGTAAATATACAAAAACATGGCTGTTTTTGAGAGAACTAAGCTTCCGATTTGAATGATCCAAAAAACCTTTTTGCTTTAGTTCACGGAACGATTGCTTTTTGGGAGAGAATTTTTTTTTCTTTTTTTGTTTAATATCCAAAAAATATTTTTTGTACTAAATTTTATTCTTCGAATATTTCATCATGGTACGGGAAGTTACATAGTACTACTTTTATTTTATTTTTTTATAGTGCGTAGTTAAAAATCACATATTTTCCTAAATTTTAACACTCCTATCACAAACTTCTATTTTGCTTACAGTAATTTAGTAATTTTTTGCTACTCTAGAAATTTCCTATAGATACTTTACTTGGTAAAACAAAGTCTGCCGGGTCACCTAGTATATATATATATATATATATATATATATGAGTGTATTATTTAAATTATGTTTAAGTTACCTTACAATGATCGTCCGGTGTAAATAAAGACAGAGAGTATATATACTTTTAGCACAAAATTGCAAAAATCACGCAATTGCCGTTTCATTGTTGATAAACCACAATGTGCTAATAAATAACTATAAAGTATTATACAATTACATGTCACATTGATAGATAAATACAATAAACATTGCGTGTCTGTAAGTAAGAAATGCATTTATCTTAATATTTATTATCTATGTGTAAGTTTATTGGCCTCATAACCATTTACCGCGAGGATAATCTCCGATTTTATCATTAGACATTGTTTACAAATAATATATCTAAAAGTGCGTATATGAAATATTTTTTTGTAAATAGCAATGAAGATTAGATGTTCTGTAAGTTTTGGTGAACGATGGTAAGGTTTTATTTACGTTCAGAAGGAGAAGTTTATGTTTTTGCCAAAAAATCTGATTTGTGTGTGAATATTGTTATTTTTTCATTATTTTTGACCAACAGTCAGTATTTAAGAGTCCTACAAGAGTCCCAACGGGGCTAATTTGACATAATACTACGGTTGCTTCGTACAACCTAAACGGTTGTCTCATCTCTGTGTGAAAATTTGTTTTTATTACAATTTTTGTGATAGGCCTAGAATTCAGTAGGATATTCTATTGATGCAGCAATGTCGTATAAGAGCTCTTTTGATTTTGAAACATCTTGCTATATATAGTTCCAAGTGAAAACTGATGCCACTTCTGCTTGACATCAGGCTTTTCGAAGCGCGATGGAACCCAGGACCAATGATTCAGGTCAAGTCGCTTTAACTACTTACCACAAACAAGCCTTGACATTTAGATTTAAAAAATTTAAAAGACAATAGATGTAACTTAATAAGACTCATTAGTTGTCTTCTTTTTTTGAAAGATTTTGATAGTTTATAAACTATTCGAAATTTATCAATTGGTAGGATATAGGATATAAGTTAGGGTGTGTGCTTATTAATTTTTGATCAATTGTGATATAGCCCAATTAATTATTTTTTTTTTTTTTTTCATTTGGAAGCACATGGCTATCTATATTTTCAAATAAAAACAGATATCACAACTCTTTGATATCAGGGTGTACAAAACGGAGATTTAAACTCAGAACCTGGTTTCAAAACCCTGAGCACTAGATATCTACTCAAAAGAAACATCTGGATATTTAACCAAAAACAGATTTTTTTTATACTCAAATCTAAATTTCTCTAGAATCCACTAAAGTCGAAAATATTATAGGACCATCATAAGCAACTTAAAAAATTATAGAACATATGCACATTAACTGCTCAATTAAAAACAAAAATCGCCAAAATCATAATAGAGAGAAAAAAATATGTCAATATATCTCTGATAACCTGACATCATGCAGTAGTGATATCAATTTTTACTTGAAAATATAGATTAAAGATAGATTTCCAATTGAAAATATTACATTTTGGGCACTGTGTTGCAAATTGGCAATGGGAAATTTCTCACACTATTCTCACCTGAATCGAATTGCGAGTTTAACTCAGGTCACAGATCAGCCTCATTTATTTCTATCTAAAAATAAAAAAAAACTCATTAGAAAATGAAAAATACTTACTCAATAAGTAATAAATACAGTCTGTTTATAAAACCATTATCTACTTCTAATATATCAAAAGTAAATTCTAGCAATATTAATTAATTGGTAATTGAATTATTTTCATACAAAATATTATATTTATTTTTATGATCTCATAAATAGCCATTTGTAAACGCTAACATTGATATTATCATTAATTACTATTATTATTATTATTATTATATTATTTTTATCTTTATTATTTCTAATATTGTTATTTTGTTATATTTATTATTATCTATCACTTATTGTTTTTATTCTACTTTATTGTTTTTCTAGTATTATTTTCATTATTCAGAAATTTTATTAATATTACTTATTAATGTTATTATTATTATTATTTGCTTTTATTTTATATTAAATCTACATACTACGGATATCGTATTATTGAAAATTTTATTCTTTATTCTGTACTCTTTTTAATAAACTTATATAATTGTTCATTACTGTTACTAAATGTTAATTATTCAGCAGTTGTAACAAATATAGTAATTAAAAATAAATAAATAATTTCCATAAATAAAATAACAAAAATTCACCGAGTTTTCATTTTTTAATTTGTATTTTACCTCATATCATCATGACGAAGAGAATTATGTGATCAAATATTTATTTTCAGTAATGACATTTGTTATCATTTAAAGTAAACATTTGAATGAAATTGTGTAAATATTGTAAATCATAAGTGTTGAAAGACAAAAATGTGATTTAAATTGATTAAAAATCTTATACAAAGATTATTTTATAATCCTATCAGTACAAAAAATAATTGGGTCAAGTTTTCATTACACCTAAGTGTACATGTAATGAAAAATGTTTTTTGTATTAATTTGAAATCATTTTTAAAATTACTCCTAAAAATATATATGTATATACATAAGTATTATAAGATAAATTTTATTTCCGTGACAATATTTTTAGAAAATTAAATACCGTAGCGTGTACCTTATTAATATGATTAAATTAATTAATTAATCGTTTAATAAACTGATTCTTGTAAATAATGAATATGGAATTAGCAACCTAAGGTCATGTGCAACTTTAGATTTCTAAAAAATCATTATAGTAATTATTCTTCGAGCCGTCGAAATGTATGTAAATTATATCAAAGTCAGAATCAAGGTTTCTAATTTGTTTGCAGGGAAATTGGTCTCGAATGAAACTAAAAAAAATAAAAAATAATAATAATATAATTTTCAATCCCTAGATATATTTTATATTCTTATATACTCTTAATTGAATTTTCTTTATAAATTATGTAATATTATTCTTTTTTTTTTATTTCAGGTTAAATTTGGCCATACCCCGTGCTGCACCGGGCGAAGGCGATAAAGCCTTCACGTACTCACAATGTGTCCGGTATGATGTCAATTTTACAGAACTTTTGGAAAATGGAACCCTAGACTTGGTTCCGAATCCAAACTGGCCTGTAAGGCCTTGTGACCAAGGATGGGAGTTCGATTTTTCGGAAATACCTTATGCTTCAATAACGGCTGAGGTAAGAAAACAAATTTTCATTTTAAAACAATTAATCTACAATAACACCTAAAATGGATAGGAGGTAAAACTGTAGAAAAAATGACTTTAAGAATATAAAAATTTTTGACTGTTGTCAGAGATTATAAAAATTGGGATATAACAGTCTTTTGTAACACTGAAACATGAAGTTCTTTTTCAAACTTGCCCTAGTAGTGTTATGACCAATTGTGCCTTAGTTTTCTGGGAAGTGATTTTGGATGATCCTCTAAGCGGCTTTTATAATTATTTGAATGTATTGTATTTCATAGTTTATCTGGTCCAAAGCGGCTTTCAAAATTTCTTTAAGTAATTTATTTTTGCATTTGAATTTTTATTAAGTTTAATTTGGAAGCTGATCCCCATAGTTGTATACCGTATGTCCAAATTGGTTTAAAAATATCTTAGTACAAATATGAAAAAAATAATACTAATGTAAATTATAGGATAATTACTATAATAATTATTATTAAAAACTGACAGTTATACTCTCGATTGAATTTGCTCTCTTATCTGTCAGATACCTTAATATAAATTATGATGGCACTATATATATTTTTTTTTGATTTGTAGAATATAAGTCTATAAAAAATAACCTTGCTTTTTACTTAACATAACACATGATTGTCAAAACAAAATGAATCAGTCAATGAGTGCGATTCTAAATTAATTTACTCGATTTAGTTCCAAAGATAAATTCTATATTTGATACCTACTTTAGTTGGTTGATAGAAGGTTCTTTAGTTTTAACAGTCAGAGTGTTTTATTTTTAAAATTGAGATATTAATATTGATAATTTAAAATATTATGTGAAACCAATAAATGTAATTAAAAATATCATCGTAATAAAATCTTCAAACTTGAAGCGTCACAAAATTCTGGTCCATGTTTCTTACTTCCAACAACCAAAATCTCAAGATATTTTACTAGTTGCATATTGCAAAATATACCGGAACTTCATCAAATTTATTTTCATAATTTGTCAAGATTTCATTGAACTACATAAGGACAAACACCTACTTATATAATTATGAAATTACTTAATAAGCCAGTTAACCTTTACGTGTAGTGACAAATTTGTCTTTACATATTTATAATTTTGATTTAATAGTTATATATATATATATATATATATATATATATAATACAAAATAAACCGAAATTATTTACAAAGGCATATATAGCAATTATGATAATTAAATTAATGAGATCATTACAGACATGTCAACTTCTTCAAGGTATGATTACTAAATAATAATACATTATTTCAATGATTTTTTTTGCTTTTTATAGCATATTTTAATTATGACATGCCTTTGACATATAAAAGCTCAAATTGTACCTTGTTAAATATTAAAGGACAATTTTTAATCTTTAAATATGAAAAAAGCATATTAAATGTACCTAATAAAAAGATGGTCCCAAGGTATTATGGCCTAATATTTTTTATCAATTTATTTTTATATCATTTATTTATAGACAATTTTACCTACTATTCTAAGAACTTTTTGTTGTAATATTATCTAACAGGTCCTACTTCACATTCTACATTTATTTGCTATCCAGATTTTTATCAGATCAGCACCTCAAAATACTATATTTTTATAAGATTTTTAACATCACTTATTATGTTAGGCATTATTAAGCTTTTAGACGTTGCATATTACTTATTATATTATAATAGAAATAATTATCCGATAGTCTTTTGAAAGCTGACCGATCACTCAGCATTTTCCAGTAAACGTAGGCAATTAGAATGGTTTTATTTACGATTTATTTATATGTAATTACATCCGAATGTGTTCTACATTTTACATCAATAACATATTTTCACGTTTTTCATATTAATTTATGCGCGATATAGTTTTATATAATGAGAGTAATTAATTAAATCAATGCGGTACACTTGGCACAGATTGGAAAAATATAAAAAATAAAGGATAGGTTACATATGATTCATTGGCAATAGAAAAAAATCTAAGAAATATGATATTTTTTAAGACTAAAAAGGACAAAAAATACAAAATTTTTCACAGTAATTAATTTATATATCTGTCTATTTGTATATAAAATTATCATGCCAGAATGATCGTCGCACTACATTTTTGAAACGGCTTTACCGATTTTTATTAAATCATGTAATCATGCTCAGTATGATTGAGAATCGGCTCTCATCTATTTTTTGTACCCCTAAATGGCAAGCTTTGGCCATTCTCAAAATTTTTTCATTGTTTTGAACCAAATTATTTTACTATGATTATTACAAAGTATTTTATCATCAGGTCAACATCTATTTTTCATGACCCTGAATGATAAGGTTTGGCCATTCTCAAGAATTTTTTCTTATTTTTTTGACAAAATTATTATACTATTATTATTTAAGTATTTTTTCATAATTATAAACAAAATTTAAAAAAATTAAATAAAAACACATAAAGCCCTAAATTTTCACCTTCTTACCACAGAAAACTATTATGTAATAGATATTTTAGTAATCGCATAAATTTTCATCCTGCTCCAGTCAATAAATTTTTTTTGACTTAATTTTATTTCTGATTCACTAGAGCTTATAAAAGAGCTTAAGTCAGTGGTTTCCCACTTTTTTTTCAACAATTTAATTTTATAAATACTCAACTGATATTATCAGACCATATTTTAATGATAGTATTATGTAATTAATATATTGTGTAAACTAATTCTTTTTGGTTTATTATTTTATATCATTTCCAGAAGTTTGGTTATTTTCGAAAATAGTATTTTGGAAACTGATGTACGCCTTCCCAGAATAGCTTGGCGCCTCACAGATTGGAAACCACAGGCTTAAGCTTTTCTTCAAAAAGCATTTTGTTTGCATCAAAAGTTATCTAACCCTAACAATTTTCTTAAATTTTAGGATCATTTTTTTATTTTAATTTTTTTTTTTTTTTTTGGCCAGCGGTGGCAAAATCGGTTAGAGCGTGGTTTAGCACCAACCAGACCCAGGTTCGCTGGTTCGATTCCCGCTACCGCCAAGCCTGACATCAGGCAACTTTGATGTCATATTTCCACTTGGGGTTATAGATCACAATATAATTCCAAGTGGAAATCGTCCTTCGTGGACATAGTTGCATCATACAATCATATGCACACTATTAGACATAAGAGCTAATATATAAAAACCCCGCAAATTTTCATGTCGGGACAGCTAGTATATATATATATATATATATATATATATATATATATTAAAAATATATTTTTCTTTCCAGATGGAATGGGTTTGCCAAAATGCGGCCCTACCCTCTTTTGCCCAAGCCATTTTTTTCTGTGGTGCCATAGTTGGGGGTCTATTATTCGGATGGGTTGCCGATAGATATGGACGAATTCCGGCCCTGACCGGAACCAATGTTGTTGGATTTTTGGCAGGAATGGGCACTGCCTTTGTGACCAATTTTTGGCAATTTTGTTTGTGCCGATTCCTCATTGGAATGGCATTCGATAATTGTTTCACTATGATGTACATACTTGGTAAGTAGAAAGATTTTTTAGATTAATATATATATATATATATATATATATATATATATATATATATATAAAATAATTATTTAAATAAAATTTTTTGTGTGATATATAAACATATGAACTTGTCAGAGTACTATATAACTAAATTAAGATATATGGTATGTGGATATATTCATTTTCATTAGTTAACTAGATTGCTTTTTCCACAAAATTGATAATTATTTGAATTTTAAAAATTAATTATTTCGTGAAAGTTTTAAATATAAATTCTATGCGAATGGCTATTTTTCTTCGAAAAACATATGTCCCAATAACAACAAATTCTAATTATTTCTGTTATCGATTCAAATTATCGATAAATGCTTATGTTTACCCATGGCCAAAATGTTTCAATGATTTATGCAAATAAATAAACATGTTTTAGAGACATTTACGGTATTGAAATTGTCGTTAAAAATGAAAGTAAATTCCAAATGTAGAAATGAATGAAATTAAAAGTTTCGAATTTATTTATTGCAATTTAAATTTTGCAATGTCATTAAATAAAACACTATATCGTTAAAAAAATCAGCAAAATCATCAACTATATTTATTATATAAAATCAATTTTTTTTTATTAAAAAAAATAATAGTAATATTTATAAGGAAAATTTGGTACTGACTGAATTTGCAATCTTCTGAATGCCTCCTTCAAGGTTTTTTTTATCAATTATTTCTACGTCACTGGACACACCTCCACTTTATGACATCTTTTTAAAAAAATTGTTTACCGTTATTTATTTATGCTTCTATTTAAAAAAAAAATGTTAATAAAATACAGTAATTATAAATACTCATATGTGGAAACCTGTCGTTATTTATAGATTCTACTACAATTTTTTCCTGTGTTACAATTGATTTGCACTTATGCAAATAATTGTCGTTTTATTACGTGATTTGTTTGTTTATAACGATATCTACATATCACTATATTATTAGAAAAAGTGCTAATAAATAGGTTGTTAATAAAATAATGGGGAGTACTGACAGGTTTGTGAAAATGTATATTTTTTGTGCTAATTCAGGTTTATTTTATTATTATAACAATTAAATTGTGTCAATCAAAAATTCAATTGTCATATAGAAAAGTTTTATAAATATAAATAAACATATCAATTTTTGGCAATGATCATCTAGCTGTTTCTAATCGTGCTGATCAGTATTTAATAGAGATCCATCGAACAGTTTTTTCTTTTTTTCCAATTGTCTTAAAATATTATACGAATTTGGCAATCGATTTAATCATAAAAAACCAGTGGGGCGCACGGCATCGTGTCTTAAGGCAAATTGCTGGAACTTCCCGTATCAAAAATATTTTTTTCAAAAGATTAACATTTTGAAAAAAATTTACTCTGAAAAATTAGATTTTTGAGAAACTATAAATTTTTGACAAAAATTTACTTTTTTTTTGAAAAAAAGACTATTTGAAAAAAAGTGTATTTTGAAATATTTTGGAAATTCTGAACGTTTTTTCAAAGCAATCGTACTGCTTTAACTGCATAGAGACGAAATATCGAAGCGCGTAAGCGCCGCGCCGCCGTCTTACGGATAAGCATTGGTACGGAACCCATAAGAATGTAAACAAAATTTATACTTATTGTTAAAATCTCTATAATCCTTATAAAAATTTGATCAGTTCTTCATCTTGTTAATACAAGTAAAATGTTTTTTGAATTATTCAAATCGGACGCTCCGTTCTCTTAAAAACTGGGTTTCCGTTTTTGGCACTTTTTGCCCCATATCTTCAGAACGGCTAGACCTGCCTTGGCCAAAAACTAATCAGCACGTCTCTTTATCAATACGAATCGAATGATTTTTGAATTATTCAAATGGCTTTATCCGTGTTCTCGAAATCGTCGACGAAAATTTGTATCCGAACACACACACACACACGCACACATACACACACACATACACTCACACACACATACATCCATTTTTTCTAAGGTATGCCAAAATATTCAGAAACTAAAACTATTCTAAAACGTAAAGATATATATAAATTTTCATTTTCGATTTTTTTGCGATTACTATAACTTACCCTACGGGAAGTTAATAATAAATATTAAATACCTACTAGTTGGACTTGGTCGTTTTTCCACTGCATTATAATTAATAGATAACAATATAACTATACAAATCCTCTTTATGTGATTTAATCTTAGTTCATTTTTTATGTAAAGAAATTATTTATTTATAAATAAATTGTTTTACGTCAATTATTCTACTCATCCTGAATATGCCGATAAAAAAACATTTTGTCCTTGTGCTATTTCCGACAAATCTGCTTCGAATGGGATTTTATATCAGAAAATAGTACTTATCAGATTATTATCTTCGGATATAATGGATTACTTGCTAAAGTCGTTTTCAATCAAAGTATCTATTTAATCCCATATAACTATAAGGTGCAACCCACTCACGTTTCTGCAAGTACTGGAATATTAAAATTAACATAATTTTTCATACGTTTTGTTTTGAATTTACATATGAAATTATCGTATTTTTATGGTAAATTATGTGCAAATAGAAGGACATTGCAGACCTATGACAATGGGAAAAACATGACCACTTAGTAATATATAAAAATGTTTTTTTAAAATACCTACTTATGACTAATTATAGGAAAGAATCGTTTTTTAATAACAATTTTAAATTATTGTATAATAATTAATGTTACTTCGATTCTAAGGACTTTATTTGAATTTTTGTTTAGCGTTTTTAATAATGCAGTTAGAATCTAGGAAAGTAAACTAAAAATTAATTATATTTACATATGCTTTTAAGATTTTTGTTTAACATTAGTGTTCAAGAAATATATTGATATTTAGCATCATTCACTATAAAAATAATTTATTAATATGAAATGTTGGATATCAATTTACTTGAATATACCTACAATAAAAAATCATGAAAAATATATTATTATATTAATATATATATTGGATTTTTAAAATGCATTAATCACTACATAATATACGTTATAGTATAAAACCAAAAATAAAATTTTAGTGGTGCATGACACTTTGCACTTTTTGCCTCGTATCTTCTAAACAACTAGAACTGCCCTTTCAAAAAACTTATTATCACATCTTTGCATGAATAGAATGTTTTTGAATCATTCAAATCGGTTGATCTGTGCTCTCGAAATCGTCGACGAAAATTTGTATCCACACATACATATGTGAATAGAGCACACGCACACACACATACACAACTAATTTTTCTAAAGTATGCCAAAATGTTCAGAAACTTTTGAAACGTAAAGATATGCAAAAATGTTCATTTTATATTTTTTGCAATTACTATAACTTACCCTAGGGAAAGTTAATAAAAAATATAATAGCCTAGAGGAAAAATCTGGTAAAAATTATTTCAAACTTTTAAGGTAATTCAGAAATAGTACTTATTATAACTAAGAAATATTTTAATAATATACAAAATTTTTTACTAAATATATTTTCTAAATATTTTTTAAAGTGTGTGTTTATTCAAAATTCAAACATTTTATTGATTGTACTATATACCGATGAGAATAATAAACTATATCAAAGTTTGCAATCGAGGACAAAACAATTTTCGCATTCAAGTCCTTTATTTATTTAGTTCTAATATCAAACCAGTTACTATGCAGATTTAATTTAAATGCAACACTATAGACAGTCAATAGTTGCTTTCCGTCGATCTGTAATTACGATTCTTTTCAAGACAAATGTTTTTTATAAAAAAATACTTTTATAGGCTATGATTAACATAATTACATAATTTAAAGTCATACGGAACTGCTATGAACCATCTATCATAAGAATCGAATGTCTTTATAAGATTTATAACTTTGTTTAATCGTAATGTGTGCGAACATTCACTTTTTTATAAAGGATAATAATTCAAATGTTATACTAGCATTAATTATATACAATTAGATTGCTCAGAAATATTATATATATATATATATATATATATATATATATATATATATACACGTATATACATATATATTAGGGGTGTGCTTTAAAGGAAGGTAAACTTAGGCACATATGATTTTCAGATTTTAGAAATAAAAATAAGATACTTTGCTGAAGAAATCATACCTCTAAAATTAATTCAGATGTTCCGTGCATTGACCCAAAGATAAGGGTTAAATTTTGAAAAACCTTTCAGGATGGTCTCAGGCATGAGTCGATTGGCCTTCCAAAGTTAGTGGGGGTCAGTCATACATTTGGACGCAATTGGGGCATTCTGATTTGGTCAAAATGGTATTTTTTTAAATTTTAACTCTTTTTTCGGCAAATGCACGAGACATCAGAATTTCAAATGTATCGTTTTTCCAGCGGGGTATTTTGTTTTGACCCCTAGTATCTAAAAATCAAATGGGCCTAAGTGACTTTTTTGACCCATACAAATCGACCCTTTCTAATAAATACATATATGTTGCTTTTCCGAACAATTAATACAATAAATAAAAAAACAATTAGCTTTATAGATAATAGTAGATTTTTTACTACCTTTTGAAACTAGATACGTTCCATCAACATGATTTTTTGTCAAGAACTATTTTTTATGAAAGAACAATATTCTTGGTAGCGATTCAAAATTTAGAAAAAAACAATTTAAAATGTCTATTTTAAACTTTGCTCAATATCAACTTATTAAGTCGATTAATTGCATGCACGTATTGGAACTTCATGCAATTTAAGTCTTAGGTCAACTTGCCCTTAGGTAAAATGCCACTTCCACCTAGTTAATATACATTAAATATGTGAATATGTACAATAAATATGCAGAAATCTTACAATCTTTAATTTGACAAAAGGAAGTATATATCCGGACATACCAGCAAGTTGTTCTTCAAGGTTCCTTGAAAAAAAAATCAAGGAAGTTGATCAAATCACAAGTGTGAATTTATTTTGTAATTGCCGCCACGAGCGAAAATAAAAAGAATTAGATGAATGATTTCATTAGAT